CACACAGGCCGGTGTGCTTCATCCATGTGGGCTTTGTTGACTTCTGAGCTAGATGGCCGCTTGTTTACCTTCAAGTCTTTAAGACCCTAGATGCCATATCTTTTGATAGCCAGGCTCCATCAGCTTTCTTCACCACATTTGCTTATGCACCACTTTGTCTTCAGCATTTATCACCATTCTTCATGGGGTCAGAGTAAACACAATGTTACCATTTTAGTGATGGAGAAAGGTGTGTCCGGTGACTTGCATTTGCAGAGGTTTTCAAATCATTCTACCCCATGATCCTTGGAGAAGCGCACTTACCAGAGAGAGGATTCCATTTGTAGTTAGGCACTGGGTAGGCTTGGATTCCAGCTCACACACCTGAACCTGATCCCGTTGATTCCCATATAATTCTTCTTTTCCTTTGTTCTTCACAGACCCTGAGGGAAGCACTGAGTTAGACAACTGGGTCACCTTTGGTGTCACATGTTTCCACAGTGAATTGGTTCCAACCACCAGATGGGGGGTAAGAATATCATCATCAAAGAACTTAATTCTTTGGAAATTCTGCTTTCAAATGCCTTGAGAGGAACAAAACAAAGGGAGTCAGCATCCTCTTCGTGGCTTGTGGCTAGAAAAACAGTGATGTTATGTAACGACTGCTTCCTAACAGTAGAAAGTGTCTCTTCAGGTGGGTGAAGAACTGAAAAACTGAATGCAGGAACTAACAAATTATTGTTTGAAAGGAAAAGGCATGTCACAAGTTGATTCCCTCTGGATTGTTCCAGATAAACTTCCAGTGACTATGGTTCCTTCTCAGACCAGGACATAAGATTGATGCAGATAAGATAGGAATGCAGGAAGAGCTCGGATGGGGTATAAACAAAAAGACCTTGGCATTTGTGTGGTGGGGTTGACCATGTTCTGGACATTTGTCCTTATGGAAGCTATTAGCAGTCACAGCCAACTCTTCGCAAATCTCTTATCTGCGGATGAACTTTCCCTCACTGTGCACAACTTAGGCAGCTGATGGCCTCCCTAAAGAGATATTTTTTGAAAAATAAGCATTACTTCTCTTCAGAGCAACCCCCTTCAGTGAAGGTTAGCATTCCTGGAGAGCCTCCAAGCTGTCCAGAGAGACTCTCTGTCCCCAGAGGCTGAACAGAACAACAATAAAGAAGGGGGAAATTCAACGAGATCCCTTTAACAAAAACAAATAAACAAGCCAAAACACAACCTTTCACTTGGAGCCTTAAAAACTGCAAAGAGGGGCATGAGGCATGTGAGGACAACTGCTGTTGCTGGGCCTTTGGGAGCTCGGACCGTGCTTTGCTTCCCAGGTGGCTCTGCCAAGCAAAAGTCTCTGCTTGGTGGTTGTTGTCCTATTAACCAGTGGCATTTTCTATTTAAACCCTGGGTGGCTCCTAGATTGTCCGCACAGCACCAGGTGTCTGATGGGTCTGTAGCATGAAAATGGTGCCTTGCTCAGATGACATCGCCAGAAGTGAGAAGCTTTTGATTGTCCTGTTTCAGCATGCTCTTCAAGTTCTTGCCTCACCTGGGAGCTCTGGCGGTGGAAACTGGTGGTGTTGTCAGGAGCTATCATTTGTCACTAATACCTTGAGACCATGTAGGGTAAGGAAGAGTCAGGTAACACTGGTTAGAGTCTCAAGGCCACCATTTACTAAGTACTAGATCTCAGAGAAGTTCCTTAATTTATCTGACCTTCAGTTTTCTAGCCTCTACACTGGGCCTGAGAACACTCATCTCATGGAATTGTGGTGAGAACTACATAGGGTAAGATATGACAGCGCGTATCAGACTGTTGGCATTTGGTAAGCATTCAACAACTTCTGGCTCTGTTCTTCCCCAACACTGTGCTCACTCCAACCGGAAATGGCACAGCTAGAGTACTGAGTAGTTACTTGTTGATGAGACAACCTACACTGGGCTGCCTTACCCTCTCTCCTACACTAGAAACTCCTTGAGGATGTGGAATATGCAGTGTAACATTTCATCCTTCCCTATGGTGTTTGGCATTTACCTGTCCATAGAAAGCACTCTTTGACTATTTTCTAAATAAATAAGTCTTCTTCTCTTATCATAGGTAAGTCGGTAGGTAAATCTTCCTGTGCCATGTTATTTATAAATCTTTACAAAGTTACCTCCCATCCTTACTATTTCATGATATATATTTTAATTATAAATGGCAAAATCTGACTTTACCAATAAAAGGGGGGTGGTACACCCTAATTCACAGTGTGGGCAAAATCTCCCCAAAGTCTCAATTATATTTTTACGTGTGTCAACCAGAAGACTCCTGGGTGGCACAAATACTTTGCACTCTCCTACTAACCAAAACTGAGTCGTTCTACCCCACCCAGCTGCACTGCAGAAGGAAGACCTGGTGATCAAATTCTATGATATTACATCCACTGGAAACCAGTAGAACAAAGTTCTACTCTTGAACAGATGGAATGAGGTTGGCATGAGTCAGAATCAACTCAATGGCAATGAGTTTGGTTTAGATTTTTATGGATAGAAAACTCTACCTGTAAAATCTAAAATAGAAAGGTGGCCCTAGGTTGGTAACTCAGAGAGATGAACTCAAACTACTGAGGCTAGAGCAGGCCATCAAACCTCTGTGTGTATCAGGGGGCTTCACAAAGTTGTGTGGACAATCACTGAAAGCAAAATGCGTGCATAAGCAAATGTGGTGAAGAAAGTGATGGTACCCGGCTATCAAAAGATACAGCGTCTGACGTCTTAAAGTCTTGAAGTTAGACAAGCGCCAATCTACCAAAGAAGCAACAAGCCCACATGGAAGAAGCCCACCAGCCTGTGCTATCATGAGGTTTTGACGGAATCAGTTAACAGGCACCAGAAGACCCCAAACAACAAGAAGAGCGGTCAGAGCAGAGACCCCAAACCCATCTGTAGACAATAGGACAGCCCGTCACAGAAGGGTCAAAGGAAGGGATGAGTCAACCAGGGCTCAATATAATACCGATGAAACATACACTATTCCTCTGGTTCTCTGAGACTTCCTCACCCCTCACTATCATGACCCCAACCCTGCCTCTCAGTTCTGGATAGACAGAAGCATGTACACTGGTACAGTTAAGAGCTCAAAACACATGGAATCCAGGCCAGATAAACCCCTCAAGAACAGAAATGGGAGTAGTGATACCAGGAGAGTAGGGGGAAGTGGAGAAGGAAAGGAGGACAGGGGAACCAATTGCAATGATTGATGCATAACACCCCCCACCACACACACCCCAGAAACATGGCTGAGGGAGATAGCAGTCAGTGTAAGATGTGCAAACAATAATAATTTATAATTTATCAAGGGGTCATGAGGATGGGAAGCAAAAAAGAGGAGCTGATACCCAGGGCTCAAATAGAAAGTAAATGTTTAGAAAATGATGATGGAAACATATGTACAAATATGCTTGATACAATTGATGTATGGAATGTTATAAGAGCTGTAAGAGGCCCCAATAAGGGCGGAGCCCGGGAGGGCGCCAGCAGTGGGAGTGCCATGGCTCCGAATCGCCGCTCCCTTAGGCCGCGGGCAGCGCTGCTGGCAGCTGCGGGTCGGCTGGGATGCGACCCGCGGTTCCTCGCCTCTCCTCTCGCCCTTCCATCCTCAGGCCCGCAGGCTGCTGGGGCCCATAGTTGGGCTGCGGCCCAGCTGAGGCAGCGCGACCTCTGCGGGATTCTGTCAATCTTTAAGGACAAATGTGCCTTATAGCTCATGGAAGAAAAAACTCATATCAAGACATTTTGGGGTTCGAAGTTGCCAAAGTATGGAACAAAATCCAGAAGAAGTACACTGCAACCAATGCCAAATGGGACACCTGCCACCTTCTTAGACATTTCCAAGAGTAGCAATGTAAAAAGTTTCATCAAAAACAGTGGCTCAGATTGTGCGTTGTCTCGTTCATTTAATTGGAGAAAGGCACATAGACACCAACTCAGTGAACAAAGTGCTGGGGAGCCTGATACTCAGAATTCACTTGATAAATTAATTGATTCTGAAAAACATGCTCCTACCCAAGGAATGTTTGATAAAAGTAGGATAAGAGGAAATTTGAAAAGTGTTTCTGTCCTCACATCCAAGGTAGCAAAGCCATCCACTATGTTTGTATCATCTACAGAGGAATTAAATGAGAAATCTTTGTCTGGACCATCAAATTTGGGTAAATTCACCAAAGGGACATTATTAGGAAGAACTTCCTATTCTTCAATCAGTGCTCCCAAATCACAGTTGAATGGATTTTATGGAACTCAATCAGCTGGTAGCATGCAAAGGCCTAGGGCAAACTCCTATGTTACTAGAGCAGTTCTGGAGAAAGCTTAGCACAGTCCCCAGACAACAGTAAATCTATTGCTTGTGAAAAAATGGTAAGGTCACAAAGTTTTCACATTCCATTCAGAATTCCTTCCTTCTACCATCATCTATCACCAGATCACATTCCTTCAACAGAACTGTAGATCTTACTAAGCCTTATCAGAACCAACCCCTACACATTAGAGTGCCTCTACAGTCAAGCATGCTAACAAGAAATTCCCGACAATCAGAAGTACTCAATGGGAACGAACATTTAAGGTATGGATATAACAGGCCATATCCTGCTAGTGGAAAGAAGTTGACTTTATCAAATGGCTCTGGTATAACTTCCACTTTGGGTTATAGGATGGTTCATTCTTCCTTACTGCATTTTCTGGGAGTATCACAGTTGATGGTAATAAAAACACACCTGTTAACACGTGTGTAGAGGAATGTGCTACAGATTTGGCTAATGAGAAAGCTACAAGGAAGGAACAAGAACTAATTGAAAATGATAGTTACCGAACAGAAAATGACCAGACCATGAAGAATGATGCCAAAATTAGATATCTGAATGATGATGTGGATGACATTTCCTTGTCTTCTTTATCATCTTCTGATAAGAATGATTTAAGTGAAGACTTTAGTGATGATTTTATAGATATTGAAGACTCTAACAGAACTCAAGTAACTCCAGAGGAAGTTTCTCTCAAAGAAGAAAAGCATGAACGGATACCTCCAAAGGATATATTGGATTCCCCCACGGAAAATGAAAAATCTTTCAGTAAAACCAATGAATGGATAGATATAAACATATCTGACATGAGTGAATGTACAAAGCACACTGCTGGGAATAACTTGATTTCACCAGACACAGATTACAGAGCTGGTTCTTCCTTTGAACTCTCTCCATCTGATAGCTCTGATGGAACATACATGTGGGACGAAGAAGGCTTGGAGCCCATTGGAAATGTGCATCCTGTTGGAAGCTATGAGTCCTCTGAGATGAATAGTATAGATATTCTGAATAATCTTGAATCATGTGACCTTGAGGATGATGACCTTATGCTTGATGTGGATCTTCCTGAAGACACACCTATTGAAAATGTGGAGTGTGACAATATGAACCGTTTTGACTGATCAGAAAGAAATGCTCGGCAGTCTCAGGAAGGATTTTGGAAAAGGCCACTTCAGAGGTGGAGTGGACAGGAACACTACCACCTCTGTCATCCTGACCACTATCATCACCGTGGAAAAAGTGACTTGAGCAGAGGCTCCCCTTACCGAGAATCTCCTTTGGGCCATTTTGAAAGCTATGGGGGAACCTCCTTTTTCCAAGCTCAGAAGATGTTTGTAGATGTACCAGAAAATACTGTGATATTGGATGAAATGACCCTCCGGCACATGGTCCAAGATTGCACTGCAGTAAAAACTCAGTTACTGAAACTGAAACGTTTGTTGCATCAGCATGATGGAAGTGGTTCATTACATGATATTCAACTGTCATTGCCATCTAGTCCGGACCCATAGTGATCAGATATATAAGAATGAAGATTTATTAAATGAAATAAAGCAATTTAAAGAGGAAATAAAGAAAAAAGATGAAAAAATCCAACAATTAGAACATCAATTTACAGGCCTGCGGAGATAATAGCATGCACAAAAAACGAGACAGAGCGAAGCCGGGCAGCGATGCACAACAGAGCAGCGGCAGCAACAAGCCACTGACAAAGAACAAATTGAAACACAACAATAAAGAAAAGCTTGTAGTTCGTTCAAGAAAAAAAAGAGGCCCCAATAAAATGGAAAAAAATTGTATGGAAAAGTGGAATAAAAAGATAATGAATGGCATTTTCCCATGAACTTTTTAG